GGGAACGGCGCTCGAGGGCGCTAGGACGATGGGGCGCTCGAGGGCGCTTCTAATGGTGGGCCCTTAGGTGACTCCTAGGTCTAGAACCTAAGCTCTGCTACCATATCAGAATGAGAAGTGTGTGAACTATGACAAGATGGAGTACAAGTAGCGAACCCTAGTTTTGTGTACCCCCTAAAGGCTAACCCACCATAGCCTACACAACAACAACACATATAGTGTTTGACAGACCCGTCGCTGTTTCTGCGCACCGACACTTCGCTGCCGTTGTTCTACATCCTCGTGTATGTCGACGACTTGGTTTTGCCACTACTGACACTGAGGCACTGGCCTTTCTGAAGTCGAAGCTGCAGAAGAGACATACATGCATTGACAAGGGTGAGCTATCTTGGCTTGCAGATCACCCGAGACAAAGCACGGCGCACCATCACCCTGACTCAGTCACGCATGGTGCACCAGGTCCTTCAGGGCTTCAACTTCTGGTACTCCTCGCCACGCTCCACTCCTCTGCCTACCATTCACTCGCTCTCAGCTCCACCTTCGGACGAGTTCGTAGAGCCGAGTGGCCCGTATCCAGAGCTTGTGGGCTGCCTCATGTACCTAATGACCTGCACTCGACCTGGCCTTGCCTACCCTCTTCGCATCGTGGCATGCTATGTTGCGCTCGGGAAACACCGACTAGAGCACTGGGAGGCCGTTAAGAGGGTGTTGCGCTACTTGTGCATTACGTCGGACATGGGCTCGTGTTTGGAGGACGGGGTCCAGTTGTCCTCACTGGACACGCAGATGCGTCTTGGGTTGATGACTTGGCTATGCAGCGGTCGTCACAGGGTTACAATTTCAGCCTTGGCTCCGGTTCTGTTTCTTGGCGGTCTACCCGCTTGTCTTCTGTTCTCAATTCTAGTTGTCAGGTTGAGATCTACGCAGGGGTCATGGCTGCACAGGAGTTATGCTGGCTCACCTACCTGCTGACCGGCTTGGGAGAGCAGCCTCGTTCTCCTCCAATTCGGTACATAGACAACAAGGCCATGATTGCCTTGTGTCAGAAGCACAGACTGGAGCACAGGATGAAGCACATCGCTCTGCGTTCCTTGCTCTAGAGTTGCACTAGCGTGGTCAGCTTGGCTTGCTTACGTGGCCACTCGGGCCAGTACTGCTGATATATTCACCAAGGCACTTCAGCCTAGTGATCATCAGCGTTTCTGTACTGCTTTAGGCCTTGTGCCTGCTTTGTCTCACTTGCTCACTTCGTGACTTTGCTTGTACTGTAATCTATATACATAAGCATGCATGCCTACACTTGCTAGGTTATGATCACTGCGTTCTTTGTTCTCTTTGATATAACTCTACATGTGAACTGGCCTTGTGGTCATTTGCTTGTGCTCGGAATGTGTGGTGACGTTGTGATCCACCCTGAGCTTGCTTTGTTTTTCTTGACTGGTCTTGTGACCCCTTGTTCTCCCCCACTTTGCTTATGGGGGTGTGTCAAACTGTTATAATGTTCATATTGTGTAGGCTGTAATTGGGTAGCCCATAATGGGTACAACCTAAATAGGTTTAGTACTTGTACTCAGTTTCTTGTCAATGCATTCATTCTCATTCAGTTTCTTGACATGTAGCTAACGTCATCGGAAGTTCAGATTCAACTTTGAAGCATTGTTTGCAAAGTCAGAGGAGGGCAGCTTCGCCTCTGCCTGGGAGCTTTCGAAGAGTCACGACAACAACCTTGGCGAGTCTGGACGAAATCGCCGATTGTGCTGACGTTATACGACCCTCGGTACGGATTCTCGATGGAAATTCTGAAAGAAACCATCGGTAGGCTACGTGACTTCGCCTTCCTCGCCGATTGTTGTTCTCTGCTACAATATTTTTCGCCAAAGACGACAGCTTTTGATGACGCGCTTCAACGACTGGGAGTTACAATTGTTCTTCGACATTTTGATTCCGACAAAATGGCAACAAGGTGACGTCAGCAACAAAAGCAGAAATTTTGGGATTGCAACTGTTGACAGCTGGAGATGCTGCAGCAATCGAGGATTTCAATTTCGCCACAACAACAAGACAACAGCTGAGATTTTCGGATAGCAGATGCTGCTATCTGGGGAAGCTGCAGTAGTCGGAATTCATTCGCATCAACAAGAAGGTTTTCATCGCGGGAAACTGTACGGCGGGTTTTGACAGAGTTTATCCAGGGTAGTATTCAGAGTTTTCAGCAGTGTGAGTTCGCCACCGGGTACAATTTCGACTATGTAGCTGCTAAAAGCCAGATGGGGTTCGTAATACTTGGTGTTCTCGACTACCCTTGGCGTTAGGGTGGTTGGAGTTTCGTGCCCGTGTACATGTAATGCATTGGGGGTTGTCTGAATTATGTTGTTATAACTGCATGTAGTTCTAGCGTTGGTGTAGTTATCCAGATTTCCTGCTTGGTGGTGTACCCTCTTTCCTACCCTATATGTTGTGACCCTCTCCTTAGTGAAATCCCTCTTCTCTCGTCAATCTCGTTCTACCCTAGGCTCCTAAGCCTAGTAATTCTAACATGGTTTCAGAGCTGGTTCTTTCCTAGAACCTTCAATTATTTTTTTAAGATCAATGGGTCCACCCGTCCCTATGGCGCACTGCGACCGTCCCGTCCCCTGCACATCGCGCTGCCCGTCCTGTCCCCTGACCGTCGCACTGCCCGTCGCACGCGACCCGTGCACCCTGCCCGTCCGTCGCGCCCCCGCTGCGCCCTGCCAGTCGCCTCGAGCGGTTTCGTCGCCCCACGCCCCCCCAGTCACCTCGCACGGTTTCGTCGCCCCACGCCCCCCTCCGTCACCCAACGCTGTTTCGTCCCCCCGTCCCGTGCGGTGCCCCTTTGCCTCGCTGCTGGTCGCGAGCGCCAGCGCCAGCACCAGCCCCGCGCTCCAGCGCCATCTGCCGTGGGGTAAGGGGGGAGATGAGTGGGTGGCGGTGAAGGGGGGACATGCAATGAAGGGGTGGCGGGAGAGACTCTGCCGAGCCAGCAATCGCCCCTCCTCCTCTCTCTCTTTCGCTGCTGGGCAAAGGGGGAGGGTAAGAGAGAGTGGTGGAAACAGCAGCCACGCATGTGCAGCTGCTGCCCACTACTAACGTGTCACCTATAGCTGCAGCCCCTGTCGCCACCTTTCGTCTTTCGTCTGCTGCTGTTGGCGCAGGTGCTGACGTTGAGCCTGCTGTGCCGCCGCACGCCGCTCTTGAGGCTACCTACACCGCATGCATGCTCCCCCCTTTCGTCTTTCGTCTTGGCTAAGGGATTTCTGCAGCTGTATCTACCACAGTTGCACCAGGTTGCTACTACTTTTGCGTGTTGCTGCTTTGTTCTGCTTTGTGTACCCCTACAGGTTGTGTTTTGCACTTTGCTATTCCTGCATGCAGTTAAGGGGGGATGTCAGAATTATGTTGTTATAACTGCATGTAGTTCTAGCGTTAGTGCAATTATCCTGATTTCCTGCTTGGTGGTGTACCCTCTTTCCTACCCTATATGTTGTGACCCTCTCCATAGTGAAATCCCTCTTCTCTCGTCAATCTCGTTCTACCCTAGGCTACTAAGCCTAATACAATCTTGACAGGGACTTTGATAACGTTGTGGCGGAGTTCCGAGTGCGTTTGCCCCATGATCCGAGGCCTTGGATCCGTGTGCTCCGGATTCCGAAGGGCTTGGGCACAAGGCTCCGCCGCATACGACAAGGCCAGCCGCTCACAATTCCGCGCCCACCTGACCGTGAAAAATGTGTTCCAACCAACCTGCCCGTGACCCTTTGTGCCAGTGATTTCATGGGTATGACATTTTTCGCCATCGTAACTCTTTGGCCGACAAGTGACGACCGCCGGTCGCATGGCCGGTTGCGACCAACTGGTCTTCTCTGCGTCGTTATATGCTTTAACTCGGTTTTTTTTTTTTGCTCCAGCCTTAAAGCTGCAGCAGGTGTGTTCCTTTATACCATTGATCTTATGTGTTTTATGAATAACTTGAGTACAAGTGTAGCATCCTACGTTTGCTCATTGTGTTTTATAGTCATTGTTTACCAAGTGTAGGTGTTCTACACACGTGGCCATGGCAACAGTTGTTGTCAGAGTCCCAAGGCTGCAAGAGCCGATAAGCGTCGTGTAGGGAACTTTTTTTTTTTGCGGGAGAATCATCCAGCCCAGGGTTGGATGACCAGTTCTGGACACGGGCTTCTGTGTGTGGTGGATGGGTACGAATGGATGTTTTCGTGCTCATTTGCTCCTTTTCATTTGCATTTCATGCTCCGCAAGCTCTTTGAGATCTTTTCATCCAGCACCTGTTAGTCCACCAGCGTAGTCTTTTAAGCTTGCTTGGCCCACTCGCAGAACATTGGCGTCCTCGACGTAGTGACGTAGGTCGTATAGAGTGGGCTTTTTTATTTTGGGTCAGCCCAGTTAGGATAACTGCACTCGCACTTGTTAGGTCGCTTATGTAGGCGCAGATCTGTGTGGTAGAATATTTTGTCGGTAGAACTGTTTGTATTTGCCCGGAACAATTGTCGTAGGTCGCCCGCTCTTGTAGCCGGACATCTTCGACGTTAGGCTTTTTTTATCGGTAGAAGTATTCGATCCCAATCCATAATATCGTCGAACCCACGAAATTTATGTACAAGCATAAGGGTTCCGTGGATGATTATATCCGTATAATGGTAGGAACTTATTTTCGTTGTTTCGTTGTAGAGAATAAAAGCGGTAGAACAAAGGGTGACAGAGCTATATGGTACGGGACAGTCAGGCGACCCCGTATACGCAAGTTGTAGGCGCAGATATATGTAAACGCAAGTTGTAGGCGGTGTTCAAAGACCAATGTGCATACGCCTAAAGCACAGACTCTCTTACGGCTTCTGCGCTTAGGCCACTAAGCATTCTGCCTACGTTATCTGCACACTTGCGAATCGTTACCACCTATCGCGGCTGACACCATCCGATTCTTTCGTCTAGTCTCGGTTGCTAGCTAATAAATTAGGAATCCGTGAATGGCCGACAGCTCGGTCCACTCTCGCCCCATGGCAGCCCAGGGCGCAGAGGATGGAGAAGAAGACCTGGAGGACGATGAAAATACTGACCAAGACTACGCACAGGATCGCGAGAACGATAGCGAGTTTGAGGCGACCGAGGAGGATTTGTTCCAGGGTGGTCTCTACGAACCATCCGTCCAGATTCAAGTCCAGGGGAGTGTTGAAGGGAGTGAAGGGCCGGGAGGCGATGGAGTGCGCCCACGACCTGGTGCGCCCGAAGAACAGTACGAGGAGGATGGAGATCAATCTGACGCAGAAGAGGAGGGAGAATCATCGCCGGGACGACGACGACCTCCCGATTCTGCGAGCCATGTCGAGCAGGGTGCGGCCCCCGTAAATGCGCAGCGGCAGACCGACGTTGCGGAAAAGGAGAGCAGGATCCGGCGTTCAACAATCCCGCTTCGGCTGATAGAGGCCGGCACGAGAAGGCACTATTGTTTCCACTTTCTACACTTCAAGTGGTGGGTGATAATCTTCATGGCAACTATGGTAGATGTCCCTGTGGCAGATAGGCTTGCTCCCTCTCTGCACGACGAGGTTGGGTTTCATATGAGCAATAACTTGGGAAATGATGGGTGGTCGTGCAGCTCTGACGAGTGGCAAATTCATCTGCACGGGCCGTGAGTCACGGAATGGAGGCTCGGCCGATACATCGAGTATCTCTTCTGCGAAACTGACGAGCAGGCAAAGTTTTTGCGTGGAAAAATGCGGCCAAATGTCGAGAAATATGTGGGGAAGGAGGCAAAGGGGTGCACGGCTTCAATGATCAAGGCAAAGATGAACACAATGGGATGCCTTGCCAGATGATGGCGGGGCTCTACGGCTTCTCCATCACACTGACCAAGGACTGGATCAAGGATGCTCGAGATTATTTCAAAGTCAAGCTGAAGGATCTGAACGACGAGCAAGTCGTGTGAGTAACATATACGTGTGCTTTCTGTTTCTGTGAATGTTCTTCTACATGGTTTACATAATTACTGTGCTATTCTATGCAAGGATGGTCAAGATCAAACCCGTGGATCAATTGGTGATTGCTATACAGGAAGCCAGTATAGGACGCTGCATCTTACTGTTCTGCGAAAAGAGTGTCAACTCATATTATATAGCTTGTGTAGGCTATAGTGGGGTAGACACTATGGGGTACAGTTTCCTAGGGTTTCCTACTTGTACCCAACTTTGTGCTAGTTCATTTCATTCCTCAATTCTCACATGGTATAGAGCAGGTTCCCTCGTGGGAACTTCCTAGGGCCAACCACTAAACATCTATTTTTCTTTTCTGCCCTGAGATCGAGTCGCTCCTGACCGAGGCGCGCCTTGTGTGCCGCCCTCCCCTTAGCAACCCGTCGCGCCGCCCTCAGCGGCCCTCCCCCTCTCTCACGGCCCCTCGCGACCCCGTCGCCGCCCTCCTAGCGGCCCGTCGCGCCGCCCTCAGCGGCCCCTCCTCCACGGCCCCATCGCCGCCCTATCGCGGCCCCGTCGCCGCCCTATCGCGGCCCCGTCGCCGCCCTCTCGAGGCCCTCTCGCCGCCCTATCGCGGCCTTGTCGCCTCCCTCTCGCGGCCCCGTCACCGCCGTTCGCGGCCCCGTCGCCGCCCGTAGCGGCCCTGCAGCCGCCCCTCGCGGCCTCGTCGCCGCCCTCTCGCGGCCGCGTCGCCGCCCTCTAGCGGCCCCAGTCGCCGCCCTCTTGCGGCCTCGTCGCCGCCCCTCCGCGGCCCTGCTACCGCTCCTAAGCGGCCCCGACGCCGCCTCCTACGTGGCCTCGACGCCGCCACTACCAAGCCGCCCAGCAGCAGAGCCGCCGAGCCGCCAAGCGGCCAAGCCGCCGAGCCGCCCAGCAGCCGAGCCGCCTAGGAGCCGAGCCGCCTAGCCGCCGAGCCGCCCAGCAACCGAGCCGCCTAGCCGCCGAGCCGCCCAGCACCCGAGCCGCCGAGCCGCCCAGCAGCCGACCCGCCGAGCCGCCCGACAGCCGAGCCGCCCAGCAGCCGAGCCGCCGAGCCGCCCAGCACCCGACCGCTGAGCTGCCCAGCAACTGAGCCGCTACCAGTCCTACCGACGCGCCCCGGCCCTACTTACTCGTACTTGTGAGCTCACTCCTTGCTAGACCTCTGCAAACATGGCTACCCCCAGTGCTCTTACCTTTGACACTAAGGGCCAGGCTGTTGACTTTGAGGTCTGGGTCAATGACCTCCAGCTGTTCCTCCAGTGCGATAGGGCAGACGGCCTCTCTCTGTTTAACATCACCCCTGATGCCTCCCCTGCCCCGCCTGCTACTGCTGACAGCACTATTCGCTCACAGTGGGCGACACGCAAAGTTGCTGCCCGTCTTGCTGTGCGTCGCCACTTACCGACCACTGAGCGTGCACACTTGAGCCAGTACAAGAGTGCTCAGACCTTGTACGGCGCTGTAGTTGCACGCTACTCTTCCCCTGCCACTGCTGCACTGAGCTGCCTCATGCTACCGTACCTCTTCCCGAACCTTGCTGCCTTTCCCACAGTCGCTGACCTCATTACGCACCTCCGCACTAGTGACACTCGCTACCGCGCTGCGCTTCCTACTGAGTTCTGCGCCAAGAACCCCCCCCCCCCCATGTACCTCGCCCTCTACTACATAGTCACCCGGCTCCCTGACTCTCTCCGCGTAGTCAGGGACCACTTCCTCTCTGTTTGCCCCACCACTCTCACCGATGACCTCCTCGAGAAGGGCCTCCTAGCAGCAGAGAAGAGCATAGTCGCTGTAGGAGCCTCTCATGGTGACCCTCGCACCCCCGTCTTTGAGGGGTGTTCCCCCTCCCCCCTCTTGCCCTCTGTTGCTTCTGCTACTCCTGCCGACCTCGTTGGTTTCTACGGGGTCGGCGCTGCGTCTGCCCCTAGCGGGAGACGCCGCACCGGCAAGGGCAAGGGGGGCAAGGGCGCTGGGGGGGCTAGCGGGGGCGGTGGAGGTGGTGGTGGAGGCAGTGGAGGGAGTGGGGGTGGTGGTGGGAGTGGTGGCGGAAGTGGCGGCGGCGGCAGCAGCAGTGGAGGCAAAGGAGGCGGCGGTGGTGGCGGAGGGAGCGGAGGCGGCGGAGGTGGCGGAGGAGGCGGGGGTGGAGGAGGCGGCGGAGGCGGCGGAGGCGGCGGTGGTGGAGCGGGTCGCGACTCTGCAAAGAGGAGAGGGTCAGGTGGTGGTCCGCGCCAGCAGTAGCAGCGTGGTGTGACCCTGTCCCCTCAGCAGCTTCGTGAGTGGTACGCTGCGCGTAAGCGCGGTGGGGGTACTGGTCCCTGCACTTACGTCCTCCGTACTGGGGACCGAGCTGGTGAGCAGTGCGGGGGCCCGCACTCCACCCAGCGCTGCTTCGGCCGCTTGACGGACGCGTGGCGTCACCAGTTCCCTGAGGCGTCAGAGATCCCTCGCTGGGGAGATCTGTCTAGGGCAGGGGTTGCCATCTTTGATCTTGACTATGATGCTATCCTTGCTGCCATGTATTCTGTGGCTACTAGTGTTGAGGGTGACTGTTACCTGTGCGTACCGCCAGACTCGGGCATGGAGGCCATTGCTCTAGGTGCTGGTGAGGCTGCTGCTCTAGGCGCTAGTGCGTCTGCTGCCCCAGGTGCTAGTGGGTCTGCTGCCCCAGGTGCTAGTGAGTCTGCTCTCTCAGGTACTACGTCGGCTCAAGCCTTACACACCTTCACCCTTGACTCGGGTGTGTCCCGCTCCTTCTTTCGAGACCGCACCACTCTTACGCTGCTCAGTAGGCCGGTTGCATTCTCCCTGGCGGACCCCTCTAGGGGTCCTATCCTTGCTAGCTTCTCCACTCTCTTACCGTGCCCGGCAGCCCCCTCTGGCACCCTGTCAGGTCTCTAATTCCCCTTGTTCTCTACGAGCTTGGTGAGTGGAGCGGACCAACAGGATAGGGGGGTTGACGAGTTCACTCCAGCGAGTCAGCGAGTGACCCACTGCACGTGTGCTCGGACAGGCCGACACTTGGCCACGTTCACCCGTCGGCCAGGGTCGAGCCTGTACACCCTTACTACTGAGTCTCCTTCGGCTGCTGAGTCAGGCCAGGTAGCTGCGTCGAGTCAGGTGTTTGCTGCAGCGTCCAGGTCTGGTCCTGAGTCTGCTCCCTGCTCGTGTCGTCTCCTGTCCCACCAGACTCTCCTTCTTGGTCACCCCTCCCTGCCTCGTCTCCGAGGCATGGCCTCCTGTGTCCTTGTCTCTGGTCTCCCCCGGTCTCTACCTCCCCTACCTCCGGGGCATGCCCCTACCTTCGTCCCCTACGTCGAGGGGGGACAGCGCGCCGCCCCTCACTCCTCCGAGTTTCCTCCGACAGAGGCTCCGCTGCAGACTCTCCGCATGGACGTGTGGGGCCTCGCCCGCGTCCGTGGACAGGGACACGAGTGTTACTTCCTGTTGGTGGTTGACGACTTCTCGCGTTACACCACAGTCTTCCCCTTGCGCAGCAAGGGTGACGTCACTGAGGTGTTGATCGACTGGATCCGCGCAGCTCGTCTCCAGCTCAGGGAGAGTTTCGGCTCGGACTTTCCTGTTCTGCGTCTGCACTTGGACAGAGGAGGGGAGTTTTCCTCTGCCCGTCTGGGAGCCTTCTGTCGTGCAGAGGGCATCCGCCAGACCTTCACGCTTTCGGCCTCTCCACAGCAAAATGGGATTGCTGAGCGCCGCATTGGCATGGTCATGGGCGTCGCTCGTACGTCCATGATGCATGCGGCTGCCCCCCATTTTCTGTGGCCGTTTGCAATTCAGTACGCCGCGCATCAGCTCAACCTTCAGCCCCGGGTCTCCTTGCCAGAGACCTCCCCCACCTTGCGGTGGACGGGGAAGGCTGGCGATGCGTCTGCGTTTCGGGTCTGGGGATCTCGGGCGTTTGGACGCGACTTGTCTGCGGACAAGCTGTCCCCCCGTGCTGTTTCCTTCGTCTTCCTTGGCTTCCCCCTGACACGCCTGGGTGGCAGTTTTACCACCCCACCTCGCGCCGTGTTCTGTCCTCCCAGGACGTCACCTTTGACGAGTCGGTGCCTTACTACCGTCTCTTCCCCTACCGCACTGCGCCCCTCCCCCCGCCGCCGCTCTTCCTTGCGCCAGGTCCTCCCCCGGTAGACCCCCTCCCCTCTCATGGTCCTGCCCTGTCAGGTGTGTCCCATGTAGACGCAGTCGAGCCTGTTGAGGTAGCTGTTGACTCTGGTGCTGCTAGAGGTGCTGAGCCTGCGGGTGCCGGGTCTGGAGGTGCTGAGTCTGGGGGTGCTGAGACTAGGGGTGCTGAGTCTGGGGGTGGTGAGCGTGAGGGTGCTGGGTCTAGAGGTGCTGAGCCTGGGGGTGCGGAGCCTGGGGTTGCGGAGCCTGGGGGCGCTGGGTCTGCTCGTGTGGCCGCCGGCGGTGCTTCGTCGAGGCGGGAGCCACTCTCTCCACAGGAGCTGCGCGAGTGGTTTGCCCGCCGCTGGAGCCGTGCTGCTGGAGCTAGAGGTACTACTGTTGCAATTGGTCCCGGAGGTGCTCGTACTGGCGGTACTGGAGCTAATGGGACTTGGGGTGCTGCTGGGGCTGCTGGAGTTGGTCTTGCTGGAGCTGCTGTCGGTGCTGGAGCTGCTGGAGCTGGAGCTGCTGGGGGTGTTGGCGCTGGTGTTTCTGCTGGT